CTTTTGCTATTGTTTCTATCAGCACTTCTCCTCTTCTGGTGATAAGTAGTTTAAATGTCTTGGCTAAATTAAATGATGGCATGAGCTCTGGGGAATGTAAGGCTACCCATTTCCAAATAATCCTATATTCCTTTTAGTCCTTATGACTAATAAGTTCATCTTGAAGTGACAACTACGTCCCAATTAGGGAAGAGTGTTTCTCTATACGTGCTTAATTTTTTGATTTGGAGGCCTCCTGATTGCTAATCAGCATGTTATATGATTACTTTAACAAGTACTTATAGAACGTTATTTTGTCATTGGAAACATGCACTACTGCTTTCTGAGCTCCAGGTTGCTGTAGTGTCTACGCAGAGTAAATGTACCTAAAGCAGTCCCTAACCAGTAGACATTCTCAGATCTACAGCTGCAGCTACACATTCTGAGAGTGGGTGACATACTGGAAAAAGCCCCGGATCAGATATTAGAGGATGTAGGCTTTAGTCCCAGGCCTGCCACTTTGTTATGCAAATTTGCGTAAATTGTTTACTTTTTTTTTCCTTATTGATAAAGAGGGAATACCTAGAAGTTGCATCATACACAAATTTAACTATATTATGCTTGGCAAAAAACTTAAAAGAAAAATATCAGTTTAAATAGTACTCATTGAGCATATGTCTTGGAATTAGCATAATCTAGAAATCACAAACCTGTTGTTACATCAATCAGACTCAATTCTCATATCCCTCTCACTGTGAATCTTGCTCTGCTGTATGATTTTAATGCTTAAAGATTTATTTGTTTGTTTAGGACAAAGTCCCTACACATAACCTACCTGCTTCATCTATACGCGTACACACACACACACTGTACATATATACATATATTTATTTCAGGGCTCAAATGAAGAAATAATCATTCCAGTGATGTGATTTATCTCATATTCTTAGAATCAAATAGGGCTATGACACCACTCACTATATCATACTGGCATAGAGAACACATGTCAAAATAGATGAAACCCAGCTGTGCTACTGGCTAAGGTATAGATACATTCACATACATGGAAAATGATGAATAAGTTATTCATTACATAATCTTTTTAATAAATATCTGAAAAAAACCCCTAAATGTCCAAAGGGAGAGAGTTGATCAAATAATGACATGTAATACAATTGAATATTATGGAGCCATAAAAAAGAACGAGGAAACACTTTATATAATAATTTAGAACTTCTAAGTGAACAAATAAGGCATATGAGTAGTATTCATAGTATGTACCATTTATGTTACAAAAATAAAACAATAAAATATATATAGTACTTATTTGCTTGCATATGCATAAAATTGTTTCTGGAAAAATACACAAGAAACTGTTAGCACTGAGGGAACCGGGTGGCTGAGGAACAGGTACGGAAGGAAGACTTTTTGCTGTGTATCCTTTTGTACCTTTTGAATTTTCAACCATGTGAATGTATTAGCTACAAACAAAATGACAAATTTAGATCAGCAAGATAGAAGTCTTAGATGAAATGGGATCATGTCCTTAGTGAGAAACATTTTAAAACAGCAGGCAATAGTTCTAAAAGTAAATATCTGCAAGTAGAGTGTTGAAACTGTAAGAAACCTTCATTAAGAGATCCACCTATTTCAAACTTCTCATTTTATAGATCTGTGAAGCAAGGCCTTGAAAATTAAGTGACTTGTGTAAGGTCACGTAGCAGAAGAGATGGGATTAGATATCAAATATTCCAGTATCTACTCTAGGACTTTGTTTTTTTTTTTTTGAGACAAGGTCTTGCTCTGCCACCAGAGCTCAAGTGCAGTGGTGTGATCATAGTTCACTGCATCTCCGAATTCCAGCACTCAGGTGACCTCCTGCTTCAGCCACTCGAGTAGCTGGGACTATAGGGCTCAAGCCACTGTACCTGATTTTTTAAAAATTTTTTTGTAGATTTGAGGTCTCGCTGTGTTGCCTACACTGGTCTTGAACTCCTGACCTCAAGGGAACCTTCTGCCTCGGCCTCCCAAAGTGCTGGGACTACAGGTGTGATCCACTGCACCCAGCCTCTAGGACTCTTCATCATACCATCTTCTCATTTTGTGTGGGCAAAGCAAAACAGAGCCAAGTACGTTTGGGCTACATTATGAGTTGTTATGTTCTACCTAAATTTTAGAGTCTAAAGTAAAAACCAACTTTAAGCCCTAGGACTATTAATTTCTTGTTTGGATTAACACTACATGGCTACACTTAAAAATAAGCTGCGCATATTTCTGTCATTGCACTTATACAGCAGGATAGATCTATTTTTTTCTCTCCTAACAACTGAATTTACTGAGGGGAAGAACTAAAATGTCTTAAGTTATTTTAATTTTTTAAATATACAAATGCCTAGCGTAAGTATGCTGCCAAAAATATTAATACAGGTTTACAATTCCTTAACTAACACTCAACGGTTGGATATGTTTTAGAAATAAGAATTTCTTAGAATTTAAAAATGTTACAAGGTACACAAACCATTATATAATACCCCACATAACAGTGGCCAAGGGCAGCACCCCATAATCACACATTTTAATATAGTACCAGCGAAACATATGGGATAAAGACTATATATAGCTTCTCCTTAGTTCAGGTCGTATTTCGTTGCCAAGCTTAAGGAGTTTTTGGTTTCAGAGCTTTCTGAATGTTGGATTTAGGTAATAGTTACAGACTGTACTCACGTGGGTGCTGCTGCTAGAAAGTATGGTTAGTCACTTAAACTCTCATCTTTTTGATAAGATCAGAACAAGAAATTCTAGCAGGCAGCTTTTATATCCCAGGTTTGGATCCATCATGAGTAGAGAAAATGAGAAAAAAATGAAAATCCTAATTGTACAGCATTGAACTCCTATTGTACCTGTTCATCAGTTATTGATTTAATCTAAAAAGACGCTTCCTTTGATTAAATCATGTGTTTATGATTGGAGATAAGTAAATAAAATTCCATCCCATACTGCTGCCAAAGGGATGGAGGTAATGAGCTTTAATCTCACTGGCAGGTATCTACTGCACTCTCTTTGGGACCAGTGTACATAGAAAGAGGCATTCCAAATATATTAGTAAGGAATAAGCAGCAATTTTTTCAACTTGGGACCATTACTCTATAATATAAAGGAGACGGGAGTTTTCTAATCAAACTTTCCTGATCTCCTGTATGAGAATTCTTCCCTTTATCTTTTAAGACTTTTCCTACCTACAAGGAGTCAAAACACAACAAACTGTAAAATCTTTTCCTTTTTCTCTATAATCCAAACCCCATCTCCATTTTATTTCTGTCACTAATAACATACTTTTCTTTACTGGCTAAAAATCAAATTTATACTAAAAGACTATAAATCAACTTCGCAACGACGATTTTTTTTTTGATATAATTCAGTCTGGTGATGTTCTGCAATCTTAAAATTTTAGCTAAATTTTTTTTAACTGAATCCATTGTTTTGTTCAATTTATGAGTTAACATTCATGAAGTGTTTATTACAAATAGCGTATTCCATTCTAAAAATGGAAATAGCAATAATGAGCAAGAAAAAACTCTTGCGTTTTCACTATTTCAGGAGGAAATAATACTTTCTCAAATTTTCGTAACAATTCATAAAAAAAAAGAACACTTAACTAACTAGATCTTAAACACATATACCAGTACATTAATAATCTAGTAAAACAAAAAAACGTAAACAAAAACCAGCCGATTTTTCTACGGAGGAAAAACAACACTCCAGGATTTCTTAGCCATCTGCATTCTTAAGTACTCAAAACTAAAATCCATTTTACTGAAGAATTTCGTCCTACACGAGACTTGATTCCTCCATACTACCTCATCAAAATTATCAGCATTACTTAAGAATACAATCATTTAGTTTGAGACCATCAAAAAACTCCACAGTACAAAATGCCAATCGTGGTTACTCTATGAATAAATGGTTAGGAACTACAAATTGGTATCCTAGGATGCAGAACCAACCGACCGAAAGGAATATGTTGCCCCAAGATTCAGAATGCAGCAGCAGAAATAGCATTCGCGGTCACGATGTCCCTTAAACCACATGACCTTCCTACGAAAGCAGAGTCTTAAACTTATAAACTAAATGAGAACTCCCCCTTTCTCTGAAGTTAAAACAAGGCAGGACAGCTGAAATCAGCGCAGCAGGGAGAGATCCGCTGCTGACTCCTCAGAACGGACCATGGACAGCAAAGTCCCTGTGCTTTCGCTACTCCCCTTACCGTTAGAAGATCTGGGAGGGAGGAAAGGAGGAGACACCCCAGAATCCTGGTAGAAAAGCCCCTGGCCCCGAAGGTGGGGTTTAGGGAGACAGGGAGGGGCAGCTCCGTGTGTGGTGACCCTTTGTGAACACGCACTCTGTGGCAGCATCGGCTCTACCGAGGGTTTGGAAATGCGGACTATGGGTGCCTGGCGCGGCCCAACCGTGGAGGCCACGCTGTCGGAGAGCCTCCATGGCACCCCCGCGGCGTCGGGAGCCCTTCCTTCTCCCACCCCCCCGGGTCACTCCGGACCGGTCGGCTCCCGACCACGACTTGCGCGGGCCAAAGTGCAACGAGATGCACGTCGATCTCTTTCCTCAGCGTAATCCCTCCGCAGCCGGCCGCGCACTAGTTTTAATCACGCCCCACCCCCTGGCCGTCGGCGTCACCTCCGCCACTCGCACGCTTTCCAGCAGCTTCCAGAAACGTCGCCTCCCCAAACCCAGCCACTCACACATGGCGGGCTCTGCAGCCACCGGCCCCGCCCCTACTCGTCGCCGCAGTTGAAACTGCGGCTGCGGCAGCACGGCGGACAGCCACGCCTCTGGGGAGCGCGGCCGGAAGTGCTCCGTCCTCGCCTTCCCCGCCACGCCTAAGTCCTTTCAGGCCCTGCGTACAGCAGGACGGGGGACTCTTTTGCCGCGGACTCAAGCCGGAAGTCGCTTTCCTAGCGGAGACGCAGGTGGGGGAGGAGTAGTCTGAGGGTAACGTGAGTTGAACGTTGCAACTAGGTGGTGTGGCGCTCAAGCTGGAAGAGGAGTTTGGAACGAGCCGGTACGAAGAAGGGGAGCGCTCGCGGCAGGTAAGGGAGGAGTGGGAGTAGTTTATTTTGGCCGTCGATATAGGGAAAAGGGACAGAGCTGGGGTGACCCGTTGGATAGTCGCCACGCTGAAAGGATGGGCCGGGCTGGGACAAGGCTCGAGTGGGAAGGGTTGATGATTAAGGTACAGAATTAGAGTAACAGATCTGTTTGGGCTCAGAGAGGTAAACGCTGAAGAGAAATCAGAGTTTGTTTTCGTCTCCTAAAGAGTGTGGAGATGGGCAGGATTAACGGACCCTGCGCCTCCTTGGGCTTCCAAGGTTGGGTTTTGAAACTCACCTCGCTTGGTCCTATCCATCTCTGATTCAGGACTGAGTTTGGTACCAGACAGGACTGGGCTGAAAATCGACCCTGTTCTTCGGCTTCGAGGCAGTTGTGGCCTCACCATTTACAGTTCACCTGCTGAGCCCACTTGGTCTCGGAGGGCAAGCTTAAATGGATATAAGGCCCGTCTTCGAACAGCATTTGCCTGGGTTTCCTCATTTTGCACAAAGGATTGTGAATTAACTTAATTGCATACCTTTCGAGATTCCCTTGGCCTACTTGAGACATTCATTGTTCTGTAAATGGGTCCATCATGGGCTAGTAATTCACATTAGGGTTTATGGAGCGTTAGTGGCTACAGAGGTATGAAAAGGGGATGTTAGAAGAAAGATGCTGGAAGTGAAGTGGTGTTTAGGAAGATGAAACTGGAAGGCTAGGTTGGTCTCACAGTGCCGTGAGCTTTATTTAGGTCATAGTACTATCTTTAGGTCATATTGGGCTGTTTGGACGGAGTTGCCTATCATCTGGTTGGAGTAAGGGGTTTTTAAGATCAGCAGTGACAGGTTCAGACTTGTTTTTTATAAAGCATTATTTTGACTGTGATATGGAGGGGGCAAGGAATGGGGATTTGAGACCTTTCCAAAGAATGGTCCATAGAATTTCGTGATTTTTATTGCGTGAAGAAGAGGGAAATGAAAGAGTAGAGAACGACTCAAATTTTCTAGACTTCTATGTTTGGAAGGATGGAGATGCCAAAATTTAGGTGAGATACAGAAAGTAGGAGCAGGTTGTTTTTGCAGGGCGGAACAGCAGTTACTTAGGGACAAATTAAGTTGTGAGCACCACTCCGGCATTTTGTGTTTAAGACAAAGTAAATTGGATTTAAAAGAAGACCTGGAAAGCCCACCTCTAGTATTTTATTTTATTTTATTTTATTTTATTTTATTTTATTTTGAGACAGAGTCTCGCTGTGTTGCCCGGGCTAGAGTGAATGCCGTGGCATCAGCCTAGCTCACAGCAACCTCACACTCCTGGGTTCAAGCGATCCTTCTGCCTCAGCCTCCTGAGTAGCTGGGACTACAGGCACGCGCCACCGTGCCCAGCTAGTTTTTTCTGTTTTTAGTTGTTTGGCTAATTTCTTTCTATTTTTAGTAGAGATGGGGTCTCGCTCTTGCTCAGGCTGGTGTCGAACTCCTGACCTTGAGCGATCCACCCGCCTCGGCCTCCCAGAGTGCTAGGATTACAGGCGTGAGCAACGCGCCCGGCCTAGTATTTTATTTAAATGAATTTTCATTTGAAGGGTTTTGTGTGTTCCGGATTTCAACTACCAATCTACCTGCTTTTCCCATTGAAATGCTGGTGGTGGAATCATGATAGCAGATTTGAAGGCTCCTCATGTTTTACCTTTGCAATAGAGAGAGACAGAAACTATCTGAGAAAATTTTCTAGATTCCCTCAGGCAGATGAAAATTTTCATCAAGAACAGTGTATTCAAGATACAAAATTTCTCTTTCGAGTTACTGCAGGAGGATACAAAGTATCCTGCATATTTTCTACAGAGTGAAGTAAAAAAATTAGCACCGAATAGTAGCTTTAATTTACTATGTGTGAGGTGCTAAGTTTTTTTACATGCATTATCACATTTATTTCTTAGAAGAAATCAATTTTACAAATAAATTTGTGGACCCAGATCTACAGGTGCAAAGCCCATGCTTTTAATCACTCTGGAACTGTAGAAGTTGGACTCCTCCTACATAGTTCCCTTTTGTGCGTATAAGTAGAACTAGCCAAAAGTAAATAAATTGTGGGGAGCCTAAAAAGCAAAAGTTGGTACCAGTAGTTCTCAGTGAGGTGATTTTACCTCCCCGGGAACATTTGGCAATGTCTGGAGACATTTTTGGCTGTCACATCATGTGTGTAAAGGTCAGTGATGCTGCTAAATATCCTGCAATGCATAGGACAGCCTTTTCGAAGAATTATTTGGTCCAAATGTCTAGTGCTGCAGTTGAGAAACCCTGCCTTTTGGTTATTTCTTCAAGAATAGGAAATTGAGAGTCACTGATACTTTTTTAAAAAGCATTTTTTTTTTTGAATTATTCCTTGGCTTGAAAGGTTTGTGAAGTTTACACAGCTGGAACAGAACAACATAACTAGCTTTTAAAGCGAATCCCGTGAGCCATTGATTCCCAGGAGATGTTTGATGTAGAATCATAGGATTCTTAAATTTTGGAAAGACTTATGCCTGGAATTATTTTATAACATCTCAGCTTAGTGATAATTCACGTCTGCCTAAAGGTCTCCTGTATCTGGTTCCCCTAAATTGTGAATCCATATTTATTTAAACTGCTCTTATTTTTTCCTTACACTGAGGTCCAGTCTCTCATAATTTTAACTCTACTAAATGTGGTTCTTGGGACTACATTCAAAGCAAGCTTTTCACATGTGTAATTTATACAATGACAGTGTTTATATCTTTGTTCTGATACAGATCATTTGCAAATAATATAAAATAGTAGTTTGTTAGCAGCTTTTAAAAAGTAGCATTTTTCCCAACTGGTGAAGTATTCTTGGTAGTTGAAAGCAATAGGAATGTATGGAATATATGGTTCATTGGTTCTTTTGTCCCTGTCAAATAATGGCACTGTGGATCTGGGGTTTTTTAAGTACTTTCTCAGTGTAATGCTGGCATATTTGTTTCACATTGTGCATAGACTCTAAAAGCTTAGGTTTTCAAACTCTGGTCAATATAGTTTTCTTTAAATGGTAACTATCTCTGCTACAAGTTTTGTTTAATTTGCTTGCAAATGAGTCTGCTGTCTAAACTGGTTCTGTTGTCAATATCTGCCCTCTGTCCACAAATTTGCTAGATTTGTGAATATTGGTATTGTTTACACTTCAAAATCACAATTTTAGAATGTTTCTTCTAGGACATAAAGCCCTCAAAATATACTTCATAGATACAAAATAGCACAGTTCTTTATTAGAGTAAATAGGATTTTTTATTTAATTGTCTATTGACTTTTTTTTTTTCAGGGTTCATTGAAAAATCCTTAGTGATATTGACATGTTTCAAGTGACATAAATTAGCCAATGACTCGGAATGATGGATTCCCCGAAGATTGGAAATGGTTTGCCAGTGATTGGACCAGGGACTGATATAGGGGTATCTTCACTCCACATGGTGGGGTATTTGGGAAAAGTTAGTGAACTTATTTTTTGCCTCGGTGCAAAGTTGTTGTTTTTTTTTTCCTCCTATTTTTGAGACTTAAATTCAGTTTTAATGTTACCAGTTAACTTCTAAAAAACTGTATCTTCCACGGAAATCTTATAGTAGTGGCGAAAGATTGCTTTAATGTGTTTACCTCTCTGTGTTTTATTGATATGTGAAAGTAGAAATAAAACATAGACCTTGTGGTTTACTGTTCTTTGAAAGTATGACACATACACATTCCCTGGCAGTTGATGTTACTTTTTTCTTGCAAATAAAATTGATGCTCTTCTCAACACTTAAAATTTAATATTTAAAACTATAACACATTCTTTTTGGAATAATAGCTGTATTTAAAGCCTTGTATGCATTTCTTTTATTTGCCATGTTTAAAATATCTTACCAGGATTCTTCTAGCTAAAAATTATAATTTTTTCTGGTTACCTTTCCATTTAACTTTTTATAATTTTGTATAGTCTAGTAATGTCTATATTTTAATTTGCTTTATTTCTCTTGTAGAATTATGATTCAGCTAAAGTTACAACAGATGGGTATTGTCCTGCTTGTAGAGAGAAGGGAAAGTTAAAAGCCTTAAAGACTTACCGAATTAGTTTTCAAGAATCTATCTTTCTGTGTGAGGATCTGCAGGTAAAGTATTACTCTTATATAGGTTTTAGCCTTTTGCTTTTTTATTGTTTAAATTTTTACTAATTTTGTAATTTTTAGACTGTAGATTTGTAATACATAGATAATCTGAGTTCTAAATCTGTCTGGTATAGAATTTTAAATAGTTTTTTGTTTTTCCACCTAGTTTCCTGAGTTGTTGCATAATGATGTTTATTTTTATGGCTGTTTGACTTGTGAGGTGAAAATATATGTCAAGATTGATTTTTTTTTTTTTTAAACCTGTAGAGTCCTGGTTAGCTATTAGCGTATCATAGTTACTCATCTCTTCGGTTTAATTTTGGGACTTACTATAACGTACGTACCCAGCAAAGTATTTTGGAAATTGTTCAGTCCAAAAACAATATATATGCTCTGAGCTAATATGTACTTAAAGTTTTAAAAGGCTCTAAATATCATTTAGAATTAATTATAGTAGTTTCTACCCACTGGTACAACTTTTATACAGGAGCTCATTAAATTCTGTAATACTCTACGTTTTGTCTTTGACAGTTGATGAGACTGTTTTATACACATTTAATTCTCAAAACTTTGCAAGATAAGTATTCCCATTTTATGAATAAGAAAATACATTTAGGGAGTTTAGGAACGCAAGATCTTTGTAGAGTGGCAGAGCTGTGATTGAAATGCAGTCTTCTAATTTCAGATACGTTTATTGCAGCTAAACTAGCAGTTCATAGAATCACCTGGAGTGCTTTTAATAAATTTCTGGGTCTCACCCCAGGTGCTGATTCAGTCGAGTTGGCACAGAATACTATAGTTTTGTAACTTTTCTGGATGAATTTGATGATCAGCCAAGTTTGGAAAATACTAGACTTAGACCACATGACCACCAAAGTAATAGATACTTTCACTGGGTATAATTTGAAGAGAAACAATCCCAGGCATGTCTGTAAATACAAACAAATTTCCGTATGCATTTATGCAATTTTTTTTATGAGTGTCACAGTGTTGGTACTGTTCCAGATACAAAGTTAGATACAATAATGAATAAAACAGAAATATCTTGCCTTTAAGGGGGTTATGTTCTAAAGTGGGACCGACAATAAGTAAAGTCTATGTGTTTGTGTCAGGTGATGAAAAGTGCTGTGGAGAAAAATAAAGCAGTGAAGACTGAATGCTGGGGAGGGAGGAGTTTGCAATTTGAAATAAGAGTGGTGAGGGGAGCATTTTATTGAGAACATGAAATTTGAGCAGAGGCCTGAAAGAGATGAAGAGAGGAATGAGCCTTCCAGGCAGGGGGAAAAGCAAGTTCCAGGAAGGCCCTGAGACGATGGAGGCTGTCCCTCATGTTTGTGCTGCTGCAATGAAACCAGGAGAGCACTAGAAAGAAGATGGGTCAAAAATAATGGGGGAGCTGGACGAAACAGGGTCTTATAGGCCATTGTAAGGTCTCTGGCTTTTTACTCTGAGTGGACCGAGGAGCCGTAGTAGGGATGTTAGCAGAGAAATGGCGTAACCTGACAGGTATTAGAGGAGTACTGTGGCTGCTGCATCGAAAATAAATGTAATGAACAAGACCTGAAGCAGGGAGATAGTTGTGGTATAATAGGAAAATACTTGGTCTTTGTCCCTGGTTCCTGTCATAGAGCTAAAACTCTTGGAATTTCCTGCCTGATAAGAGTGTCTTTTGTTATTCATAATGATCCTGTTTGTTAACACCAGAGTTTATACTGATGAGGTGACCTAGAGTGGAGCCCTAGGTAGCCTCAGATGGGGCCACTCCCCAGAAAGACTAAGTGATTAGAGAGTTAGAGTTAGAGTCTGAACTTGTGGCCCCACCCACCAGCCTCCAGGCAAGGGACCAGGCTAGAGTTCAAGCTCTATAAAAACAAGATTTGGATTTTTTGAGCTTTGAGATTACTGGGAGGGTGTTGTGCCCATGTGTTGTGCCCAGAGGACTTAAAAGCTCTGCACCTCCGCCCACCACCACTCTATACCTTGCCCTATCAATCTCTTCATCTGTATTCTTTGTAATATCCTTTAGAATAAACCAAGTAAGTGTTTGAGTTCTGTGCGCCATCCATACAAATTAATTGTATCCGAGGAGGGGGTGGTGGGAACCCCAGTTTGTAGCCAGTCAGGTCAGATGTACGGGTAGCCTGGACTTGGGATTGGCATCTGGAGTGGAGACATGTCTTGTGGGACTGAGCCCTTAACCTGTAAGATATGACAGTGTCTCCAGGTAGATGCATCAAAATTGAATTATAGGATACCTCATTGGTGTCCACTGGAGAATTGCTTGGTGTGGGAAAAACCCCCCACACGTCTGATCACAGGTGTGTGCTGTGAGGGTAGAATATGAGCCAGAGAAGACTATGAAGAGAGGGTTCTCATGCATAAATGCCTGATAAAACTATCACAAAAGACTCTGAGAACCCTAACCTTGCACAAAGGCCATTACAACCTTACACAAAAAGTACATATGCTAGGACATCTGCTCAGCAACTGCCTCTCCAACCTTGGACAGGTGTCACCCTTGTTATTGATCCTTGTAGCCAAGGATAATTATCTCAAAACAAGTAATCCTCTTCATTTTTCCTTTAAAACCCTTTGTCTTCCTTTACCTCCCTGAATATACACATAGTTTACCATGGTACACGTGTTCCCCTTGCAATGCTTTATTCCTGAATAAATATCATTTTCTTTTAGGGAGCTTCTGTTTCTTACTTCGGTTGACAAACAGAAAGGTAAAAAGATTTTTTCCCTTCAGACTAGTTGAACGCAATTACAGTATTCCAGAGGGGAGGGTAGTGGCAGAGGGGATGAGGCATGATTGGATTCTGTTTATACTTTGAAGGTAAAGACAACAGGATTTGCTGAAAGATTGGGATAAGGGTTTGGAGAGGGGAATCAAGGATGATTCCAAGATTTTTGACCTGAACACTTGGAGGAATGGAGTTGCCAGTTGATGAGTTGAGAAGACTTGGAAGAACAAGATTTGGGGGAAGACCAAGAGGTCAGGAACAGTTAAGCTTGAGACTTCTAACTAACATCTGTGGGTATGTGGAGTAAACAGATCTGTGCATCTGGCATTAGTCAGAGTTTGAGGTTGAGATATTTGGTCGTCATGAGCATGTAGATAACTAAGCCATAAATATGGATGAAGAAGTCCAAAGTCTGAGCCCTGGAACACTCCAGCATTATTAAGTTGGGGAGATGAAGTAGAACCACAGTAGAGTCTGAGAAGTGGACAGTGAGGTACGAGTAACCAGGAAGGAGCATGCATGGTCCTGGAAGTCAAGGAAGGAAGGGAAGAAGTCATTACTATTAAATGCTGCTGAGAGCTTAAGGAAGGTGAGGACTCAACTCACCCTTGACTAGAGTGTTCTGTGGGTCCTTGGAGACCTTGATGAGAATAGCTGGGGTGAAGTAATAGTGATAAAAGCCTGGTGGGAGTTAGAGGGGGGAGAATTGGTAAGTATTGATTGTGGGGGATTGTTTTTAAGTAGGGAAAAAGTAACAGCACATTTGTATTCTGGTTGTATCCAGCAGAGAGGGAAAATTAGGGGGAAGTGGCTAGAGGTACATCCCTGGAGCAGGGGATGGGCTCTGTTGCATAAGGGAAGGGATTAATTTTAGGAGTTTTGACAGCTCATCCCTAACAACAGACTATATACAGAGAGTTTACTAATTAACTAGCTCCAAATAAAGTTGCGGAATTGTGAACATTGGAAAGACAAATATTACTGATTCTAAATAAAAATTACTTTTTTTCCTCTTTTGAACAATATATAATATTTCAGAAGAGTTCTTTAACCAAGGACTGTGAGAGTAGAGAAGTCGTCCTCAGGAGATAGGTTTTGACTATTAAGATTAGGTATATTATATGCATTTTCAGCTTTTGAAGCATTCTTTTTAAGTGATAAGGAAAAATAATCAAGAATTTTAAGTATATAGTTTGCAAATGTTAAAAAAAGAACTGATAAAGTTATTATTGATCTAATTTTTTAAAATAAAATTTTATCAGCAATATGAGCTCAGTGTACTTCATTAACTGAATTGGTTTACACCAGCAGTTAGCAAACTCTTGTATGATGCACAAGCTAGGAATGATTTTTACAGTTTTTAAATGGTTGGAGAAAAAAATCAAAAGAAGACTGCTCTTTCATAACAGAAAAATTATACGAAATTTAGATTTTAATGTGCATAAATAAACACATTGGAACATAGCCATGCTTAATCATTTATGTATTGTCTATGGCTGCTTTTGCACTTCAACAACAGAATTGAGTAGTTGTGACAGAGACTGTATAGTTCACAAAATCTAAATATTTATTATCTGGCCTTTTATCAGTAACGTTTCCTAAAGCAAACTTGAATCAAATTAATTTCTAAAGAGTTCTGTTATAAAATTTGGAGTCCACTGTGCTATTAAATTGCATACAGCCATTTGGAAAAACCCTTTTAATCAGATATTTATATAAAATGTTTTTTGATTTGTATACACCAATATTCAAGACTCTGGTACAAAATTAGTACCAAATTGAAACTCACATGTTTTCAAACAGTAGAAGTTTTAAATTCTCCTTTTTTTTTTTTTTTTT